TGGTAGCAGCGGCATATGTTGTCTTATAAAGTGCAGACCACAAAGGGGAATCCAGGTAGGCAGCTGTTGCTTCTATTACATCTCTGATGTATGTATCAGTCTCTAGATTTCAAAATGTAAAGGCTGCTCCAATATATAATGGGGTCTGCTATTGGCCATTGGTAAATTGACAGATTTACAATGTGTTAGAGGGGGAAAGATATGCTAATGCATATGTATTTGTATTTATATGTATGCATATGTATGTGTATGTATATGTATGTATATGTGTATGTATATCTATCTATCTTATATATATATATATAATATATGTATATATATAATATATATATATTATATATATATTATACATGTGTATATTATATCATGTGTATATTATATACATGCACATGTATTATATACATATGTATTATATATATAACACATGACATATATATATATATATATATATATATATATATATATATTATATATATTATATAATATTATTATATACATATGTATATATATATATACATATATATGTATGTATATATATATATACATATGCATGTATAATATATATTATTATACATATATATATGTATGTATATATCATATACACATACATACATAGACATGAATATATATATATATAGTATATATGTATATATATAGATATATATATTATATATTATATATATATATATATGTATTATATATTGTATATATATAATATATATATATATAATTATATTATATACATATATTATATATATGATATACTATGTATATATATATATAATATGTAGTACATATATATACATATATATGTATATGTATTATGTATATATTATAATACATATATATATATATATATATATATGTTATACATATATATATGATATGTTATACTATATATAAATATAATATAATATATATATTATATATGTATATATAATGTATACATATATATATAATGTTATATGTCATATAATATAGTATACTATATATAATATATAATATAGTATATATATATATAAGGAGAGTATTATATGTATAATATAGTATAATATATATAATATATTATAATATATATGTATATATGTATACATATATATATATATGTATATATATAGTATGGTATACATATATATAATATATAATATATATATATATATATATGTATACATATATTATATATGATACATATATAGTAGTATAGTATAATATATATATATGTATACATGATATTGTATATATAGTATTATATATACTATATATATATGTATAATTATTATTATGTATGTATATATACTATATATAGTATATATATATGTATAGCATATATATATATTATGTAATAGTATATGTATATATGTAATATGTAATGTATGTATATATAGTATATATGTATACATACACATACATATATACATACACATACATACATACATATATATATATATAGTATATATATTATATATATATCATATATACAATACATATACATACATACATACATATATACATATACATACATAATCATTATATACATATATGTATATTATAGAATATACATATATATATATATATTATATGATATATGATATATATATAGTATATATAATATTTATATATATATATATATATATGTAATATACATATATGTATATATATATATATACATATATGTATATAATATATATTATAATATATATATATATAACACACATATGTATATCTATATCTATTATATAATTATATATATTATATATATATATATATATAATAATATATATATATATACATATATATATTACACATATATGTATATACACATATATGTATGTATATATAGTATATATATATACACATTTTGTGTGTGTGTGTGTGTTGTGTGTTGTGTGTGGTGTGTGTGTGTGGTGTGTGTGTGTGTGTGTGTGTGTGTGTGTGTGTGTGTGTGTGTGTGTGTGTGTGCGCATATATATAGGTATATACATATATACATATACATACATATATATGTATATAAATGCACAACCTGATGATAAAGGGAGGCTATTATTCATATTCAAAGACACAAGATTCGTGTATGATAATATTGGGAAAAAGTTATTTACCCATTTAGTCAGGGCTTGGATATTTGTTTACAGTTCCATATGTTAAAACAGCTCAAGTGAGTGACAAACAAGCCTGTTTTGAAAGTTGCTTTAGCTTTTGGCAGAAGTGCACATTGCAAAACATTCCGTAGTATTAATTGTATCAGATTTACTTTTGTATGCAAAATGGTGAAGATATGTACAACTCTATATTTGCACCTTTATACAGTTTATATATGTGTATATGTTTATGAAGGTTTGATGTGATGGAGAATGCGGAAGAGGAAAGCTGGATCATGCGAGGCTGCTGTAGAAAATAGACAGTACATAATGCATAATAATAAGAGCAGTGAATTTTCTTTGTAGCTTGGATGCAGGCAGATATCATAGAAATAACAACCATGCATAGGCACAGTATGTACACATGCATACAGAAATATATATGTATGGTGTAAGATTAAACTCAATTGCAGATGCTCTATTCATTATCATTTGGGAAAATTGCACTCTAGGAAGAATTAGGAAATGAGTAATAATTGCGTGTTTTTCTGGTAGTTTTCATAATGATGTAAATGACTTTGACGCTACAGCAATCTACTTAACCCAATGCCGACGGGTAAAAATGTTTGGCAAGTGGACGGTTGGACGGGCTTGTTGGCGCGCATCGGCAGTTTTCCCTGTTTGTGCCCAGCTCGATCGGTAGTTTGTGAGCGACATTTAGCACCTAAAAGATTTTATTATAATATATTTAAGATATTAAAAATTTACCTTCATTATAGGTACCATTGCCTAAAATCTTTACCGTATAAATGAAGCCGCTACTATCGGAGAAAAACGATCTCCGTCGTACATGCCACCTGTCGGCAAGGGGTTAAGTCAGAATTATACCCAAAACAGAAGGGCAACTTTTGGAAGTTGTTTCTGGTATGTAAATTGATGTAGTGATATTGGTCTACCCATTGTTGTGGCCTTTGCATCTTAAGGTGGGATTCAACTGGCCTTGTCTTTGTATAGGACCTGATTTACGTCTGATTGCCCAGCCAGGCATAGTTTTTCAACACTGAAAAGCACCCCTATATCAGACCGCACATGCCTCTCACTTACATAACACCATGCATTGTACTTCTCATGTGAGCACCATGGAGCACAAGGACCTATTCCCTGTTTTCAAAGTAGCTTTGTCTTTCATGGTGTATATTTGTTTTGAAGAATGAAGAACGAAAATCAATTTACTTATTCAAAATTATTAACACTAGTCGTATGGAGTGTTGATGTGAGTGTAGTTTCAAATTAGCCAGTAATTGTTTATTTGTTGTTGGTAATAAAAAACTAATTTTGTGAAAGTCTAGATGTTTTAATAGAATTTCTAATATAACTTTAATTGACTATAGATATTTAAAGATATTGATAATTTCTTTAAGCAAATTATAGACAAGTTTTTAAATGCACCCTGGAAAGCTTCGAGATACCCAAGGAAAAGAATATTTGAGTTCAGGTTATCACTCTCTCCCCTCAGCCTCCAAATTTTTTACTATAGTGATGCAATTTGGCCCAGATAGCCACGCTTATGGCCAGACCTGTGCGTACACAAGGCCAGTTGAACCATGCCTTTAAGCATTCTAACAGTGGTTCAACAATGTTAAGATATGATATTTAATGATGTATTGCCAGGGCGGTCTTTAAATAGTATCGGGCTGATTCAGATCGGCCTGCCACCACCTAGTACCTGATTATTTTGATAGGCCAGATCAATGGATCAAACAGATATGATAATCCCCCTGATGCCTAGCATACCCACTTGAAGTTTCAACCAGCATACCTACACTTTCTTTAGATGAAAGGTATTGTAGGTCCAGTCTCTTAGAATGTGAGCTATTCATTTTATAGATCATTACCTCATGGTCTGTATGGTTCCAGTCCCATTTTTAATTATTTTAATTAAAAGATGTATAATATACTTTTTCATTTTGCAAAAACTTAGTAATAGAAAACAAATATTTTGGAATTCAGTGAGCTATCCATTCTAAATGTTACCTCAAAGGTATGTGACTGAGATAGTGGAATTAGAAATTGTTTTATTTTTACCTTTTTAACAATGTTTACCATATGTGCACCAATTATTTACTTTTTTCAGTTTCATAAACATCAAATCCTTAGATATATTCTTACTGCTTAGATTCTTAAAGTACAGTAATTTGATTAAAGGATGTAAAAAAATGATATGATTTATACCAAAAGACCTTAGTCAAAGTTTGGGAACTACTGCCGGAAGGGTTAATGTTCTTTTAGGACCAGAACTGGAATAACCTTGTGATAAAATAGCACTTTTTCTCTTTTATAAAGAAAGGAATAGAAAGGTAAGAAGAGGTAGAAATACTGGTGTTAGCTGAACATTTGGAAAAATACTTTAGTTTAGATTGGGTAAAAGTCCATATTTTTCAATACCTTGATAGCAATATAGCCCCTCTTGTTCCTTGGAGTAATGCAGGGTGAACTCTTGTATATAATGAGCAGTTGGTATGTCATAATACTAAACAAGAACCCCTTTGTCTGAGGGGATTTCAGGTATACATATCTCATTTATTTATCTATGTATGGAAGGCATGGTGTCTATGTGTGGATGTTGGTAATATGAAGAATAAGGATGAACAATTGTAGAAGATAAGATCTGTGTTCTGTTCTCTCTGTTTCCAAGGAAATCATACCTTCTGAAATAAACATGACCCACAGTCATTAGTTGACCTCAGACATTAGGATAACCAAAGAATGAAAGTTAAAAAGCTTATGTATGACTGCCACATCAGGGTGGAATTTTAAATTGTCTTTGTTGGATTCTTTATTGCAGCCTTGTGTTGGAGTAGGTCAAAGAGATCAGCTGGTATGTATAGTAAAATGAGATAAACACTTTAATCCAATTTTAATGGGTCAGCTATCCTTTCTAAAGCCATTTAGCCAATTTTTATGCTAGTATACATTCCATATAGCATAATGCATATAATTCCTTATGCACAAAGTGTCTTCAGCTATGCTTCATTCCAGTGCTAAAAGCATAATTTCACCCCATTGAGCATTTCATATAGTTTTAACCTAGAAAAATGAATTAATGCATATCATATACCCAAATAGAATTTTAGGTAAAACTATGCTTACAAGGTATAAGACAGATTAACATTTCTAGGTGATGTAGAAGTATGCTGTGTACAATTGCATTTGACTTGTTTTACACCTTATAAAAAGCAACTTTGAGTATTTGTTTTAAGTAGGGGTAATTTTGGTATAAATGTGTGACATTATATTTCTTGCAATTTTAACCCTCCCTACTTTTGGTGTTTGTGAAAGGGTACCTTTTTCTTTTCCTTTTTCTTACTAGTTATGTATTTAGGGGCTCTGTAACCTGATGCTCAATACCACATACATAGGAATGCAGGCTTGTCAGAGTACACCATAGTGGTAGGGTAAACAGCCTTATCTTCTTCAAATTTGGTATAAGAGTATGATTGGGTTTGGAAGAAAAATTAATGTTACTAGAAATCACTTGACTGTTAGGGACTAGTCATCAAAACATTCCTGTATGCTTTTAAGCACGTGTGTTTATAAAGGCACAAATAGGTATGTCATTTGTGCCTTTTAGTTATTTATTGTGATGCATAATAACATGCATATAAAATGATAAACTGCATGTAAACAATCTTTCATAATGTAAAAAGAAAAAACATTGTTACCATGTATCAGGCAGATTTCTCTTTGTATAATTTATTATTTTATATTCACTTTTTTCACTATAGAGCTTTGCATGTCTACCTAGTTTTCCTGGCTAAGGAAATCATATATATTACTTTATCACTGTACAAATTATAAAAGAAATTCTGTTAGGCAGAATACTTACAGTATATGTAATTTAACAATGCAGTGCACAATAGTAGTTTTTTATTTTTAAAAAAAACTGGCATCATATTTACAGTATATGTAATTTAAACAAACATGCAGTGATACAATGGGTAGTTTTTTATTGCATAGTCCAAAATTTACATGAAGTTTGTAACTGGATAATCATATTGCATTATGATTACAATAAAAGAAAAAATAAGTCTTTATTTTTTTTACCCCCAAAGCAGCCTGTGATTAACCCATCAGTCATATTTTTGTGAATAATTAGATACTGGATGAAACTTCATCAAGAGTCAGTGTCCTATTGATAGGATGAGGTTTTGTGCACCCTATTGCAAGCCTGACAACTGCACAGGCAGGGAGTGCCATGCACAAATTGTATACCTGTCCTTGACAAACTTAAACCTATAAACAATGGGTAAAATTTTGGGGAAACAGTTAAATGTGAACTACTTGTTATTATAAAGGATAATGTTTCACAATTCACTCAAGTCAACAGAATGGAAAAATAAGAATACACTTAAAATTTACTAAATTTATTATCTGGTCCCTAATACAGGTTTAAAATATTTTTAAAAGCACCAGAATCAATAAAAAAAAAATCCCCCAGGGACACTGGGACACAATTTTTAATATTAGACAAAGGGGCTGGGGAATGTCTTGTTGCGTTTAGAGCCTGGCAGTGTGATGTGACTGTTCCTGCAAGGATAGTCAGGCAGTGATCTTCTTCTGCAAGTTCTCAGCCAGCTTGTCCAAGAACTCAAAGGTGTTGAGGTAGTCACTGCGGGTGATGCTGGGAAGGGAAGGATATATTAGATTAACAGTGATGGAAGTGATCATAAATATTGATAGTGGTGATGAAAATAATTGTTTTGAGAACACAAATATGTCAGAATAAAGTTTGATACAAATTATTTGGTGGTATTAAGACCAGAATGTATTGCTGTTTTAAACATTAAATTTATACCAACAATTTGAATAAGTCAAGGGAGAAAAACAAATTACAAAGGGAAAACTCTCCCTGCCCCCCCAAGAAGTAATAACAATTACTCACTTTGCCATTCCCTTGATACATATGGCCAAGTCCTTGGTCATGTCTCCACCCTCAATGGTTTCCACGCACACCTGTTCAAGCGTTGCACAGAACTTGGACAAGGGTTCATTATTGTCCAGCTTGGCACGGTGGGCCAGACCTCGTGTCCAGGCATAGATGGAGGCTAAAGAAATGTAAAATATTGGAGAAATATAGAAAGAAAGAAAGAAAAAAAAAAAGAAAAAAAAAAAAATACTGGAGAAAGTTTGTATATGAGAAACAAAGTAGGGATGAAAATATTATTCCTTGTATGAAACCTGTGATCATAGATTTATGAAATGAGAAAAGGGTAAACAAAGAAATTTCAACATAACAGAAAAAGCACAATGCAAAGCTTCCTGCCTTACCAATAGGGTTTGTGGACGTCTCTTTGCCTTGCTGGTGCTGGCGGTAGTGGCGTGTGACAGTGCCGTGGGCAGCCTCAGACTCCAGAGTTCT